ACCACCAGACAACAGAAAGACAAAGAAACCCATTATGAGCTGAACACAGCAGTATGCCAGTGAAAGAGAGGACAGTAGCAGGTGACCCAACTGTGCTTTGTGACTACAATGATTTCCAATTTCAGCCAACTCAGTTGCAGTAATTCCGTTACGGATGTTTTGGTAACGGATTTACGAGCTTTAAGCATTTCATAATTCATGAACAAAATTACTTGTTACTTCTGTGAACTTTAATTATCCTCCCTCCTCATGAGGGAGAGAAATTAGAAAATATCTTAAAGATATGTGGGTTTTTGGTAACAGAATTTCACGGCACAAGGCAATATTTCTTAAACTTACAGAAGGTAAACAATTTCTCCCAAAATAAAATTGGCAGGGGTCTTTACGTCAACATTATTGTGTTTTGATGTATTTCTGATACCTTTCAATACTTTTCCAAGACCCGTTTTCCATCCATTTATTCAGAAATCAAAGCCTTGACTTAGCCTCATTTTTTAGATGGAAAATGGTTGAAAATGTATCTATGCTTTCATTTCCCAAAAATCTAGACTCTTAGCTTTCATTTGACACCCAATTTGATATGGTCCTATGAACTTCACGTTGGTGCTCATGGGTCCTTTTACATGGAAATGCACTCAGGCAAAGCTATGCCTTAAGCCAATCAAACATAATGTCTTTGTTGTGAAATGTCATAACATCTCCATGACCGTAGCCTGTTTTTTAAAGAAGGCAACATAATGAGATTTGAGTAAAATGGAATGTCCTGCACTGAGACACAACTACATTCTTGGCCCAAGGTTTTGGAAATGAAGACCAATGTTTGGGTATTTGGGGCCTGCAGTAGAGGGGCGAGGAGGGAAAAGGTGGGGTCCCTGGCTGTCCGTCTTTGTGAGTGTTTGGGGTTGAGCGCAGCACCCACCCCTGCTGCTTGGCTGCTCTCCATGTGCCGAGGACCCTGGGAATTAATGGTGCCCGGGCACTGTCTTTCTTTGAAGCCAGCCAGGAATGCGAGGCCCTTTTTTTTTTTTTTTTGACGGCACTAACTATCTGCGGTGCTCATTGTTCATCAGCAAGGCGGACGGACGTCACAGGCATGCAATAGCCGCCTCTCGGCTTGGTCTTGGGGGAGAAGGACTCACTGGAACTTTACATTTCCTCCTGGTAACTTGTTTTGTTTTGGTCCATCTTTCACCAATAGATTCACAAGTAAATTACTACTAAAGCTATCTGTTTTATCTAAAAGTCAAGTGCTAACTTGGAAATAGTTTTTTTTATTTCATGTGGAATCAAAAGTGTGAGCTCTCATACCAACAACTTTGTCAAAGGATTAGGTAAGTTGCTGCTTACAAGTTTCCTTCTGGTAGTCTTAACAGGCCTAAGTGAAATACATTTTTGAGTTGTATGAGTTGATTTGACTTTAATAGTAGTCACTATCTTATGTGATGGTTTATCCAGCCAACCAGTTCAGTTTTCTGGTGTAGTTTGCTGTAGTAATGGTGTGAGTGTATTTGTCTGGGACTTTCTCTCTCTGTACTCTCTGTACATTTTGTCACTAACTGTCCTCCCCATCACTTCCAAATGAGCGCTCCCCTGTAGTTCCCCTGTTAGTGTGCTCTAGCTAGCAGTTCAAGGAGAGAAGCCTGGCAGCCGCTGCACATGGAGAATCAGGTGTCCCTCTACAACACGTGAAAACAAACCCCTTTAACATCACTAACTAGACCTGGGACGTCAGTGTGCATGGTAGCTGGAGGTTTTCATATTTTCATCAGCTACAAACCAGAGGACAAGGGGGAGATCTATAACACTTGGTTGTTGAAGGTTTCAGAATGGTCACTGTAGTTTCTGGTACAATGTGGCTTGGAACAGAGCTACCTCAGCCATTTTGAATGGTGGGTATTTCACCTATTTGTTTGTGTATGTCTGTGTTGGTCCATGAGAGAGTGAAACCTGTTCGGCATCGAGGACTGTGGAACTCATTAGCTTGTCTTTGTGTTGGCTACACTGATCTGTGTGTATGCGGAACAGGTATGCACCTCCTGAGGGGAAACTAATCACCAGAGGCCTGCATTCAGCTTTCTTCTTAAAATATACTGTCACCCACCATTAAAGCTTCCTGTTGGTGGACTTTGTATCAGTATTTTGATGTTGGGTAAGAACGGTATTGTAAACACCAATTTTGGCAGAAAGACAAGTTTCACTGTACTAAACTTAGATTAATCAGACTCCCTCTTCCATTACAAACAAGGTCAGCATGAAATTATTAATTCAAGGTGTTATTGAAGATGATGATTCAAAGTTCTTTGGAACTTATTACTTCCTGCTACTACAAAATGAAAAAAAGCCCTTGATTTTATCACTGAGATATTGAACCATGACATATAAACAACATTATTTACCTTTTAAAGCTTTTCTTTAGCAAACACCAAACAAACACCCAACATATGATATTATGTTGGTGTTTAAAACCTTAGATTAGACCTAAATGAAACATACTATCTGTCAAGTCATTCAAACACATTCAGTGCATGTGCTTGGTTGGTTTCCTGATGAGTTAAGCCAACACACAGTGCTACATGCAGTGTTCCAGTGGTGGATAATCCATAAAAAACGTTATCACATGACTAATCCCCAAATATGTCTGCAAAGTTTTTATGGAATTCCGGGCATTTTTGGAGCGCTGCAACGTGCACCTCAAGGTTCTAATTAAGGGGTCTGGTTCCACAGGCTCCTCCAACAGGTGTTCCATGCTATATGTAGGCTTTCCATTTAAACTCATACATGTTGTTCCAAATGTTGTATTTGATATTTTTTACACATATTTCCTTACAATTATATTTGCAATACATTTTGTTTTGCTGTGAAAAACATTTGCTACATGAACAAATATGCAGTCAATATCTTTGCATTGCAAAAAAGCAGTAGAACTGTTCTTTTGTGAGCCTCTTGTGCTGAATTGCAGACATTTAAATTCCCGGCCCTCCATTTCCGTGATTTGCCAAGAAAAGGCCTATTCTCCTCTGAGTCTGAGCCCTCCCAACTCAGGCCTTAGTGCCATTAGAGACCTTAATAGTTGAAGTCATGGACAATTCTACAGTAACGGAATTGCACTGAGACTCAGATTTCTCACTTAAAAAATGCCTTTTACTTAAAATGTATGCCGAACTAAAATATTTGATTTCAAAGTTTAACAAACCATACAACTCTATGCACAAGGACTGCTTTTAACAATTTACACAGAACATTTGACAAAAACTTACTGACCCACCTTTGGCTGCGCCCCTGCCCAGTCATGTGAAATCCATAGATTAGGGCCTAATGACGGGATCTCCTTATTTGAACTGTAACTCTGTTAAAATTGTTGAAATTGTTGCATGTTGCGTTTTATATATTTTTTCAGTATATTTTGGTTATTGAACTACAGTAAGTGAAGTAGATTTACACCCGGTAACATAATTGCGGTAACAGAATTTCATCATGGGTCCCTGATCTGTACTACACAGAAATGAATAATTATGGACATGAATGTCATTGATGTATCGTAAATAGGTACACAAAGGTAGAAATATGCAATATCCTCCTTTGCATATTATAACAGTATGCCAGTGGAAGGGAGAATTGTAGGAGGTCACCCAACTGTGGTTTGTGACTATGATTTCCCATTGTAGCCAATTAAGTTGCAGAAATTCTGTTACAGATTTTTCTGAAATGTTGTTTTGGTAACTGATTTGGTAACAGAATTTTGAGTTTGAATCACTTAATAATTCATGAACAAAATTGATATTAGTAAAAACACTATAACTAATTGGTAGTTCTTTCTTTACTTAACTTTCCTTTTCCTCCTTCCTCATGAGGGATAGAAATTAGAAAATATCTTAAAGATATGTGGGTTTTTGGTAACAGTATTTCAAAGCTCAAGGCAATGTTTCTTAAACTTACAGAATGCAGAATAAAATATCCTAAACTAAATATAAGTGTTGATATTAGTTGGCAGGTGTCATTACTTCAACATTATTGTGTTTTTATGTATATCTAATACCTTTTTAAGACAGCTTTTATATCTGGCTGACAAGAAATCAAAGCCTTTGCTTATTCCATTTTTAGAATGGAAAACGATTGAAACATGTATATATGCCTTAATTTATCAAAAATATGGACTCTTAGCTTTCATTTGACACCCAATTTAACATCCTCCTATGAACTTCACATGTTGGTGCTCATGGGGCATTTTTACATGGAGATGACCTCATCCTGACAGTGGACCAGTGGGCACGAGTCTTTCTCGTGAGAAATTCCAGATCAATGGAGTGAAGGGTCAAATCACATTTGTATTAATTATTACAGATACCGTCTCCCCCCCCCCCCCCCCAGTGCTACGGTGTACCAAGCACTTGGAAAGGACACATTTTTGTCAGGGGTTGAACTTGGATTTCCACCTCTCACTAACAAGAGAGGTCAAGCAGCATTGCAGATGTCAGCAATTCCAAAAATCTATTTAGAGAGAAATAGTTCTTAGAATTCTCGGAGAATTTCTTAATTGCATTTAGATGAAAGGCTCCGTGCCTGTACCTTTGATCTAGGAGGTCAGTGTTGAGTGTTGTTGCCCAAGTAGACATGCCATGATGATAATCTAACACAAACAGTATTAGTAGTCAACCCAGTCAGCTATGCTCGCTGAGAAAGCAGCACATGCTGCATGCCCCATTTCCTAGACGTTTTCGTTGGCAGGAAAAAGCTACAGTATATTTAGGTTGGGTTTTCGACACCTCCCAGCTGTAGGAGGGGGAAATGGAGCATGATAAATGACATTTTATTTGCATTAAGATAACCAATATGTTTAGTTTTGTCTTTGTTTTTCAGGAGTTATTGAAAAAGCAGACTACTGAAGAAGCTTAGAAAAGAAGGCAGAAAATGACCTGAATTCTCAGAAGTGAAAGACGAAGCTAAATGTGTCCGTATCACTCCCATTTCACTTGGGTCCACGCTTCAGTTTCCAATGCCAGATGGATTCCTATAATTTCCACTTTGAGAGAATGAGCAACCTGGACCTGCACCCTCTGAGCCTACCATTGAGTCGGCTCTCCCCAGCCAAGTCCACCAGCAGCATCGACCAGATCACCCACCACCACGGCAAGGGCGACTCTGCCTACAGCTCCTTCTCTGGGGGCTCCAGCGCCCCAGAATACCCGTCCCCCCTGCTTTCAGACGACCTCCAGCACCACAGCCTGCACTACGCCGACCTGAAGTATGTGAAGGCCATCTACCACCCCAACGTCCTCGACTCTGACGCCAAGAGCATGGATCAGCTCTACCGCTCGGTGGAGGCCATCTCAAACCAGTACCGCTACAACGATGGCTGCCTGAGTGCTGCACAGTACTGTAATCAGAATCAGGAAACGCTGCCGCCCCCTCCACCCCTGCCGCCTCCGCCCCCCGCCCGCCTGGACAGCTTCATAGCCACCAGGAACTTGGAGAACTGCAGGGCACAGCACGGCCCCGAGGGCCAGCTGGCAGACAGGCCACCTCCACGGCCCCAGACAAATAATCCTGATGCTGCCTGTCTCAAGCCTGACCTAGTCTATGGCCGCCTGGCCTCACAGCCATATCACAGGGACCCAGTGGACCCTGACCACACGGATAATAACACTGAGCAACAAAAGTCAGCAAACATCTTAAGCCGATCACCCCCTCGCACGAGTCAGCCTGAGCACCCCAAACAGCAGTCCGGTAGCAGCGATGGCGGGCACTCGGAGGGTCAGCGCAAGAGGGCGCACTTGGCCCACGGCTCCCTCATACCGGAGCAGCAGCGGTCCGCCAGTCCCTGGCATGTGGCACAGAACATGGTCAACAGCAGCATCCAGCACAAGGGCCAGTTCTACTTCGTTACAGGTGTTTGTAAGTCATCAGAGTCCCGTCTGAAGCATGGCTCTCTGTGTGTGCCAGAGGTAGGCAGTGAGAGCCCTGTGCCAGCGCCCGTGGAGACCCACAGGCTGGTGGAGAGGGAGAGTTCACACAGCACCATGGACAACATGTTCAGGAACAAACAGAGGCACCACAGCACCCATGATACCGCAACAACCGACAACAGGGAGTTTTACACCAAGGGTCAAGATGAGGAAAAACAGACTCGGAGTAGAATTTCATACAGTCCCTCTCACATTTCAAACCAGGGCTCCCGCAGTTTCGATGCTTTAGAGCAAGGTCACAAGGTCCAGAGCAGAGAGATCGGCAGGCATCACAGCCCCAACCACCCCATCTTCTACTGCGGCCCAGAGGAGAACTGTCTGCCATTATCAAACTTCCACAACCAGGTAGTCCCTCCTCCAATCAGCATGGAGCAGGCCAACCACCACAAGAGAGACAAACAGGTCAAGAGCGGGAGGAGGCAGCCGTTAGGAGACGTTGCCAGCGAAAAGATCAACAAGGAAACCACCCCGCTTCTGTACCACCTCACTGGAGCCAACAGGGCGGCGCTGAATTTGCACAAGCCCAAAAAGGACATTGAGGTCAGTGTGAAAGGTAAAGATGCAGGCCTCAACACAGCCCCCGTTAGCTGTAGTGATACGACACCACAGGGTGAAACATCCAAGGAGGAGAGAGTGGAGGCTACCTCCCTCCCCTGCAACACTCTGGATGACTCCTTCAAGAAGTACTACAAGGAAAAACTGAAGGACGCCCAGTCTAAGGTGCTCAGGGAGACCTCCTTTAAGAGGAGGGACCTGCAGCTGTCATGGCCACACAGAGTGAGGCAGAGGCCTGAGCTCAGGCCCACAGTACTTCACACGGTCTCCTCTTCACAGGACTCTGAGACCTCAACAGATACACTCACCTCCTCCCCAACACATTCTGAGGGGACAGATAAGGAGAACATAAAGGAAACACTGAAGGAGGTTGAGAAAGCGAAAGAGAGCGTGGTGGTGAAGGACAGTGAAAAGGAAAACGGGAGACCAGCGAATGTTGCCCAGCCTCAGGTGGCTCGAATCAAGGGAAGGAGGCGTCTGACTCCAGAGCAGAAGAAGCTGTGCTACTCAGAGCCGGAGAATCTGAACCAGCTGGGTGACACACCCTCCCACCACACAGCCTGCCGTTCCCTGGGCAACGAAAGTGAAGGAGGCCTGCTAGTGCTCTCAAGCGAGGAGGGGGAGCTGGGAGAACAGGGCCTGGTGGCAGCTAGGAGGAAGATGTTTGAAACCAGAGGCAGGGCCCTGTCTGCTTCCAGCCTCTCCAAGACATCCCTGAAGCACCTCCAGCACAAGGCCCTGGTGGCCTACATGGAGCGCAAGACAGGACACAAGGTGGCTGAGTCCCAGCAGCTCACCCCTCAAGCCCCTCCAGCCTCTCAAGCCCCCAGCCAGAGGCACTCCACGGCTGGGAAGCCGTCTGACTGGGATCCCAGGCCTCAGTCTGGGAATAAAGAAGGCCCCAAGAAGAAGCCGCACAGGCCCCACTCCGCTGGCCGCATCCTGGACTCAACCTCCAGCTCCATAAGGTACTCCCAGTTCAGCTCCAGCTCCACCCAGGCCCGAGGTTATTCCCAACAGGCCAGCTGGAGAATGTCACCCAGCCCCTCTCAGGGGAAGTCTGCCTCTGTGGAGAGTCTTCTCGACCAGCCTGAACCACATGAGTTCTTCAGAAATCGCTCCACCTCAACGCCACACGCATTTCAGGTAAGCCTCATCATCATCAGAACACTTGATATTATTGCATTTACAAGAATTGAATGGTATTTTTAGAACTTCATAGAATTCTATAGAGGCCCATATCACTTTACTGAATGTACCACAATAAATGTTCAAAGGGTGTTATTAATGTTGATTATTGGTATGTGTTTGGCTACAGGGTCACAACTACATGAATGATCCAATACCAGTTAATACTATGGACACTTCCAGGTATGTTGCCCTCACTAGTCTATTGTTAAAGTGGGAGTATCTGTGCCTGTAAGATTTACTGTAAACCATGTGTGTTGTACATGCTTGCTCAAACTTTACTGTGGTATTGAAAGTGAACACACATACAGTGCCTTCAGAAAGTATTCACACCCCTTGACTTTTTCCACATTTTGTTGTTACAGCCTGAATTTAAAATGGATTCAATTGAGATTTTGTGTCACTGGCCTACGCACAATACCCCATAATATCGAAGTGGAATTAATGTTTTTAATGCCCGACCTCACTAATGCTCTTGTGGCTGAATGAAAGCAAGTCCCTGCAGCAATGTTCCAACATCTAGTGAAAAGCCTTCCCAGAGGAGTGGAGGCTGTTATAGATGCAAAAGGGGGACTAACTCCATATTAATGCCCATGATTTTGGAATGAGATGTTCAATGAGCAGGTGTCCACATACTTTTGCCGTGTAAGTTCAAGTCGCATAATAAGTTACATGGACTCACTCTGTGTGCAATAATGGTGATTAATATGATTTTTGAATGACTACCTCATCTCTGTACCCCACACATACAATTATCTTTAAGGTCCCTCAGTTGAGCAGTGAATTTCATACACAGATTCAACCACAAAGACCAGGGAGGTTTTCCAATGCCTCGCAAAGAATGGCACCTATTGGTAGATGGGTAAAAAAAAAAAAACTGACATTGAATATCCCTTTGAGCATGGAGAAGTTATTAGTTACACTTTGGATGGTGTATCAATACACCCAGTCACTACAAAGATACAGGCGTCCTTCCTAACTCAGTTGCCGGAGAGGAAAGAAAACTGCTCAGGGATTTCACCATGATGCCAATGGTGACTTTAAAACAGTTACAGAGTTTAATGGCTGTGATAGGAGAAAACTGAGGATGGATCAACAACATTGTAGTTACTCCACAATACTAACCTAAGTGATATAGTGAATAGAAGGAAGCCTGTACAGAATTTTAAAAAATATTCCAAAACATGCATCCTGTTTGCAACAAGGCACTAAAGTAGAACTGCAAAAACATTGGCAAAGAAATGAACTGTCCTAAATAGAAAGTGTTATGTTTGGGGCAAATCCAACACATCACTGAGTACCACTCTTCATATTTTCAAGCATGGTGATGGCTGCATCATGTTATGGGTATGTTTGTCACAGTCAAAATCCTAGAGGAAAACCTGGTTGTCTGCTTTCCAACAGACACTGGGAGACAAATTCACCTTTCAGCAGGACAATAACCTAAAACACAAGGCCAAATATACACTGGAGTTGCTTACCCAGACGACATTGAATGTTCCTGAGTGGCCTAGTTACAGTTTTGAAAATCTATGGCAAGACTTGAAAATGGCTGTCTAGCAATGATCAACAACCAACTTGACAGAGCTTGAAGAATAAAAAAATATATATAAATGTGCAAATATTGTACAATCCAGGTGTGCAAAGCTCTTAGACTTAACCTGAAAGGCTCACAGCTGTAATCGCTGCCAAAGGTGATTCTAACATGTATTAACTCAGGGGTGTGAATACTTATGTAAATGAGATATTACAGTATTTCATTTTCAATCAAATGTAAAAAATGTCTAAAAACATGTTTTCACTTTGTCATTATGGGGTATTGTGTGTAGATGGGTGGAAAAAAAAATATATTGAATCAATTTTTAATTCAGGCTTTAACACAACCAAATGTGGAATAAGTCAAGGGGTATGAATACTTTCTGAAGGCACTGTATACCATGCCAACATTCCATTCTGAGAAGTATATAGACATAACATCAAGGTAGAAACATTAAACCTACATTACAACTATATTCAGGGAGTCTTTTTCAAAACGAGTGTTTTTTAATCAGCTATGATTAGGGTAAGATAAGGACATACCATATCTGAGAGGAACCAGGCACGTAAGTCTCCAAAGCATCTCAATCTCATCACAATCTCTGTGCTATTTTTCAGTGCTCAGACTCAGAGGCCAGTGGATGAGGAGATGGTGGTAATGAGGAGATGCCAGGCCATGTCGGTCCCTGAGGGTCAGCGGGTCCGGGTGGTGGCCCAGCGGGGGAAGTCCATGGAGGAGCTGGGTGTGTCCCAGGTCAGCCGCTCCCTGGTCCTCAATAAGAGCTCTGAGCATCTGGACCAGCTCCGCAGTAGGCAGAGAGGCCCAGGACCAGGCCAGGAGAAGAGGATCGTCTCAAAATTCGGCGAGGGCCAGGAGAAAGCCCAGGGGCAGACCAAGAGGAAGTCCCTCTTCAAGCAGGAATCTGCTCCACAGCTGGGCAGTGAGGAAGACAGAGGGGAGATGACTAAAAGCACCAGGGAGTCTAGTGAGTCTGTCTCCCCAGCATGGAGAACCTCGTCTCGGGTCAGGACTCGCTCAGATGGCTCCCCTAGATCATATGACTTTGGCCCCCTCGTTAAAGATGAAATAGAGACCACTGTGCTCTCCTGCGACGTCCTACTCCCACCGTCCCATAAGGGTCAGGAGTCCAGTGAGAGAGAGGTCAAGTCTACCTCAACTTCTCCCTCCATACCCATCCATCCCAGGGGCACTGGCGAGAGCAAGACTGGCTCCAGGTATGTGACCATAAAATGATAAAGTGACCCTTGCTCTGCATACGACATTCTCATCATTAAATCAATGTTACTGTATAAATGGCTATAAATGGCTATTTTTCACTGTTGATATTATTTTGATAATTCCATTTTCTAATGTCTTTCTCATTCCAGCAGAGTGAAGACCGCCCCTCCTTTACAACACTCTGTGGAGAGAGAGCAGTCAGTGGACGAGCCCAGTGAGAGTCAGGAAGTCTCCCTGAGCTGTGGAGTCACCACAGACCCCACTCTGTGGATCATACCACCTGAACCAGGGAGCAAAGACAAGGGCGAGGACCCAGCCCTTTCTGATAATCTGACAGAGGGAGAAACTCCAACTCTAGCCCCTGCTCCAGCAGCTAGTGAGCCCCTTACAACTTCCTCCACCACGCCAGTCCCTGACACTGACACCTGCCAGAGCGGGGAGGGCGAGCAACCAGAGGAAGAAAAGGAAACCGAGGCAGTGGAGGGGGTGACCCCAGCAGGCGAGACAGAGAGCCCAGAAAAGACACCAACCACCGAGGAGCCAAAGTGGGAGGAGCTGGTGGAGGAGGTGGTCACAGCGGACCAATCGCTGGCTCGGGTGCTGTACCCGTTGACCAATCGTAAGACGGCGCTGATGCTAATGGAGCATCTACTGTCAGAGGACACTCTGCTGATGGAGGAGCACTATAAGAAGAAGCAGGAGCAGAGAGACGCTGCAGACAGGTGACCATCCATCTCATTATTAGACACATTATACTGTACAGGTTCATTATACCCTGGATCCGCAGGTGCCATGTTACCTGCTGTTACGTCAACGCACCTGGATATCTGCTTACAAATTGCAGTTAGATTAAGAGACACGTGTAAAAGACAAACACATGACTAAAGACCTATGAACATTTTTCCAAGGTTAATCTCATCCAAATACTCACTATCATCATTACCGTGTGTGTCTTTTTCTCTCCCTCTGCCTGAAGCTCTGAAACAGTGGATGATGCTGAAGCACCTCCCACATCTCCTGATGATGATCAAATCCAACCAGAGCCACTGAGCAAGACGGATGTCACTGAGAAGAAGGTCATTATTGCTTTTCAGCTCTGCATTACGGGTTTTTGTAATCGAAGTGGATTTACTTTATCTCTGCCAGTTGATGATGTCATCTTAATATCATCTGGATGCAGTTTAACTAGGTTTGGCATTGTAATGTAGACGCAGGGAGTCAGGAAACAAGTGCAGTGACAGAACAGAGTGCTAGATAAATGGTTAGTAATCAAGGTAGTAATGAAGTCCAGGTGTGACTGATGATGGGGCGCAGGTGTGCGTAATGATGGTTGCCAGGTGTGCATAATGATGGGTTGCCAGGACCGGTGGTTAGTAAACCGGTGACGTCAAGCGCCGGAGCAGGGGAGCGGGAGTAGACGAGACAGGCTTCACCTGATAAAGTCTGACCTGATTATTGAGATGCCAGATAAACTGTCAGACTCTTATCTTATCTTCTGTTTGTTTTGAGCTGACCATGAAAAGCCCCCAAGCACAATGTCATGTATAATGTTCTCTCTCAAACTCACCAATTCCCTCCCCTTCTACAGAGGCTGCTGGTGGCGTGTATTGAGGAGCGCCTGCAGGCCTTGGAGGAGCCCTGTGGTGCCCTGCAGGTGGAGATGCATGAGAATGGGGTGCGGGGCGAGGCCGTGGAGGCCCTGGTTCGGGAGCGATGTACGCCCGTGGAGCTGGAGCGCTACGGCCTGTTCATCGGAGACCTGGAGCGTGTGGTCAGCCTGCTGCTGTGTCTGTCCTCTCGGCTGGCACGCGTGCAGAACGCCCTGAGGACCGTGGACCAGCACACAGACGAAGAGGAGAAGGTGAGAGAGACTGAAACTGTAGTGATGCGATCATGCTTTCAACCACTCATAGGCCCGATGCTTACTTGGGATCAAACATTTAACGTGCAAACATGCTGGTTGAAAAAAGCACCTTATCGGAGCAATTGTGAGAAATTGAGAGGGATTATTGATGTTGTATTACCATGTAATTATTTATTAATTGATTGCCTTTATTAGGTTTTGTAATGAACATGTTTACAGTGTTTCTCAGCTGGATATGCCATGTACTCTTCAGTCAATTCCTAATAAGATGTTATGATTAGACTGCAGCGTATATCACCTGATGTCATGTGATTCCCCTCTGATTATCTCCACAGTAGTTTCTTGCTAAACTAGAACATTTAATGTTCTAGTTTTGTGTGCTTCAAATTTGCTTAAGTACCCATGCTAAATTCTTATGTTTTATTGTTTCCCTGGATCTTCATATTTGTATTCAATATGAAGATATTGAATACATAGTTGAAATATTTATATGAATTTCACATTGACAGCCCTTTGTATTGAGTGTGTTTTAGTGCCTTGTGTTTTCTGCTGCTATCAGCAGTGCTGGTATTTACAATGAGTCACCGAAACTCCAAACCAGTTTCGATGCAAATTTCTATCTGCCCTGCCCTCTGTTGACAAAAAGAAATACTGCACCGCTTTACTGTGCAACATGAGCTTACTTGACTAGCAGTTTCTCCATAGCAGCTGACAACAAAATGCCTTTCCATAAACACTACTAGTACACATTGGATAATGATGAAACATTTAGGGAATGTTGTGATTAATTTCATCCAACCTTTTTTAATCTCTTGGCAGGATTCTCTGGACAACCGTCACCGTCTGCTGTGCAAGCAGTGGGAGGACGCCAAAGACCTGAAGGACAACCTGGACAGACGGGAGCGGATGGTGTCTAACTTCCTGTCTCGCTGCCTGACGGCCGAGCAGCTCCAGGACTACCAGCACTTCGTCCAGACCAAGGCCTCGCTCCTCATCAGGATGAAGGACCTGGATGAGAGGCAGCGTCTGGGGGAAGAGCAGCTAGAGTCTCTGCTCAACACCCTCCCTCCCTGGGGACCACCATCAGGCCCCTATCCTACTCTCTCGTCTCCCCCAGCTGTCCATCACCTCTCTGGGCTTACAGAGCCCTGAATTCCCTCTGCTTCATCCATCCTGGGCTGTCACTAGCCAGCAAAATCACATGGATGTCTGTAAAAAAAAAAAAGGAGTCCCTCAGACTCCATCTGTCCATATGTATGTATAAGGAATATATGTGTGCCTTTAGAGGGGTGTAGAAGTTAGGACTACAGTGTGGAATGTCCTGTATATCTATTATCACTTTAATTTTATGTCCTTTTCACCTCTGCCTGTGGCTTTGAAAAACGATATAAGCTTTAAGATTGTATTCTGGCCTGGAAGTAGTCTTGTTCATCAGTCATACTGTACTGTGTGTCTGTCTGAAGCCCGGTGAGTGAGGCTAGCCTGATAAGGTTGCTAAATACTGTATATCTCAGTCAAAATAGGTGGTAGATTTAATCTCTTTATCTACTTATTAGTGCCTTCATTTAAAATGAAGGCACTATAGATAACCAAAAAGGTGAATGAAAAAAGCACTTTGATATGTTACTGCACATTTCTATTTTCTTTTGAAAACACTAAGTTCAAAAGCTAAGCCTTACTCCATCCAATGTTGTTTTTTCAACTGATTTATATAGGTATTTTCAGAATGATGGGGTTTTACGTGGTATGTAAGCACATTCAACGATGCAGATTATGTACAGTATTACCCACTGCTATTTAGGCTACAGATGTTATGTCTTATGGTTTCATGCTGACAAAGTACCACTAAAGAGGTGAACCTCTTAAAAATATATTAAGCATAATAGTTTTAATGGTATCCTTGTGGTGGCCTTCTATGTCAACATTCCCCAGGAAAAGCCCTCATGAGGCATGCCTATTTATTTGTTTTGATTTATGTGGAAATGCACAACCATAAATCTTTAATTTTAGACCTTATTTTTTCCCTAATAATGAATGTCTTGTGTGATGTTGATTTCTGTTTTGCTATGATCAATATTTTTTGAATATTTGACCAAGTGAAAGCACAGAGTTGTTATGATTCTGTGCTAAATTATGATCCAGCAGGGCTTACTTACATCACTGGTTCCCTCTGATTGATACTGTATGTGTTCATTGTGAGGGGATTAGGGTGTGAGAAGCCTTTTTCCTGTTTAAGTAACAGTACCGTGTCTTTGCTTTGTGTTCTTTGGTCCTTGTTTGTTTTCCCAATCCTATTAATTCACAGATGAACATTTTTATTATTGCTCTCATACATGTGCTCATGTACTATATAACGTTCACCCATGTGTGGATCTTCTGTTTGAGGACTTCCTCAGGCGTTGATGGTAGCAGAACTGAAAAAGCTGTTTTGAGCTCCAAAATAATTCAATGTACTGTTCATCGACAGAATGGATTATTTTGTGAAATGTCAAATAATCTGAGAGAACACAAACAATATACATTTCCACAAAATATTCTAATGTACACTGCTCAACTTCTTACTCTAAACATTTCTCTGGAGATTTGCAGCGATGTCCATTTCAGTCCGTAAAACAAATGTGTGTTTATTTTGGCCTTTGAACAGAGGACAGCCACAAAGGTTAAGTGGGCCTGAAGGAATTCCTGAGGCATGCGAATGATCTGTCCCTGGAAACAGAGGTAAGGTATCACCAACAGAAAGGACATTCTTGCTTTTAACAGATCCATGCTATTTCCTGTTATGTATATAAACATGTATTATTGTTAGTAACTTATCACTTATTTTTACCCATTTGTCAAAAAGTGTTTTGTTAATAAATATCCCACAACAGGGCTGGTGTTTTGAAACAGGTATTGTTTGTTTAGTGGGGGTAGGGTTTTCCAACCCGGAAAGAGATCCAATTAGAAAGAATGATCACAATGAATGACACATTTATCGGTTTTCAATCAATCCCAGTCTTGCTTGGGATGACAGTATGGGCCTTTGTACTTGCATTTCCTCTGGCTGTCTTCATTGTGTGTGACTGACTGTCACCTCCGTGTTGTGTTTTGTTTGCCTTGTGGAAAGTTTTCTTCATTTGTTGCTTGAAATTTAGAATTTCATGACATTTGTTATATTGTGAATAAATTAAACTTTCTCCTTCCATCAAACCGTTTGCTATGTCTTCCCTAATATGGTATGTGTTATATGGAGAGGCTGATGAGCTCTAATCCAGTGGGATTGGATCGGCTTGTTGAAGGGAGGCATCTCCCCATGTCCTTTGGCCTCGTTAGCAGCTCTGATGGAATGCTGCCCAGTTTGTTTGTGAACAACAACAAACGCCTATTATGAAGCATTGAATGTTTGAGAAAAAACAGGATTTTTTGGCACGTCCCTCCAGAAACCAAGGGGAAGGAGAGATGCCAGAATACAGCATTAACTAACTTCCAATAGCAAAGTACCTTTTGTCTGACTCCCAAGGTTACTAGAGAAGGTCAGGCTAAGCATATGCATACTGTAGCAAACAGGGCATAAAACTAAATTGGATTTTACAATGACAAACTGATTGAGAGACATATACAATATACAAGGATAGCAAAACCTGTGTGATACAGATCTAATATGCAAGCTACTGTGGTGTGGGTAGTGGTCCAGTGAATATTCATCCTACAGTAGTGTGAGACTGCGGGTAGTGGTCCAAAGAGTGTTGTGTAATAAAAAACAGCAACGAGTCATTCATGTGACTGTGTCCTCCCCCCTGGCCCTGCTGCAGTGGGAACATTTGTTCCAGCCCTGGGGTGAGAATTGGCTTGACGCAGACATTTCACTGCAAAGGAGGTGACATCATGAGAGGGGCAGAGACACAGCTTGAGTAAGCCTGTTCACTTCTCATCTCTCCAGCCTCAGGGGCCAAGGCTGGCATTAGCACATGCTCAGTTAGCTGAATCACAATCTCATGCTGCCTATATGAAGCCACGAAACCAACAAACAGGGAGACATTTCACATGCTGATATTTGGGATGCCGGAGTTCAGTAGATGGTTTTATCTACATCAAATATTGTTTTTTCCTAATACTGGCAAATGACATTATTATTATTACTAAAGTATGTATTGTATGAGATCAATCACACAGATTAAAGACAAATGGCATGTGATTTGAAAATCACGCTAGAGATTTCATAGTATTTATTTATTATTTATAGTATGTCTTTGCATTTTACCAACTAAACCCTTAAACAGTGTATCACTATTCACTCATAACACATTCATACTACAGGAATCTTGAATAGTTAGGTCACATACTATTGTTCATTTTCACAATTATTCAGTACTACAGCCTCTTCATTTCTTAGAAATCAAATCAAATCTAAAATGACCTATAATATATTTCACAGTTCAATGACTATACAGGGACATGATTGAAATACACAAATGAAAATCCCCTTGAGGGTGAAGGCACTATAAATGTCCAGGCATTAAGCCATATTTATACCCTATTCACCTTTTAATCACAGGTTTAATACAGGGACACATACAATAATGTTTAAATGGATTCTTAATCTGTTGTTGAAATGGTCATGTACAGATTTAGTTTGACAAGGATCTGCTGAAATGGACGTTAAATCCCATTAGTATGTCATGCATTACTAATTCAATATGAAATAAAACGTGACACACCATTAGATACACTAAGAATTCAATGTACATGACAAAACAGAGAGTAGCACATTTGACAAGCTACTTACTATACCTCCTATCCTGATAATATGTTTTCTTGAGGTTTGATTGCTAAAAAGAGAGAGGACTGGAATGATATGCTGGTTGCTCTTGCTGATTTATGAAAACTAAGTTCAATACAACTGAATAAAACCCTTATGTACATACTGTAATCCATATGTTCCTTCCTCTTATACTCCTACAGTGGGGAAAAAAGTATTTAGTCAGCCACCAATTGTGCAAGTTCTCCCACTTAAAAAGATGAGAGAGGCCTGTAATTTTCATCATAGGTACACGTCAACTATGACAGACAAAATGAGGGAAAAAAATCCAGAAAATCACATTGTAGGATTTTTAATGAATTTATTTGCAAATTATGGTGGAAAATAAGTATTTGGTCACCTACAAACAAGCAAGATTTCTGGCTCTCACAGACCTGTAACTTCTTCTTTAAGAGGCTCCTCTGTCCTCCACTCGTTACCTGTATTAATGGCACCTGTTTGAACTTGTTATCAGTATAAAAGACACCTGTCCACAACCTCAAACAGTCACACTCCAAACTCCACTATGGCCAAGACCAAAGAGCTGTCAAAGGACACCAGAAACAAAATTGTAGACCTGCACCAGGCTGGGAAGACTGAATCTGCAATAGGTAAGCAGCTTGGTTTGAAGAAATCAACTGTGGGAGCAATTATTAGGAAATGGAAGACATACAAGACCACTGATAATCTCCCTCGATCTGGGGCTCCACGCAAGATCTCACCCTGTGGGGTCAAAATGATCACAAGAACGGTGAGCAAAAATCCCAGAACCACACGGGGGGACCTAGTGAATGACCTGCAGAGAGCTGGGACCAAAGTAACAAAGCCTACCATCAGTAACACACTACGCCGCCAGGGACTCAAATCCTGCAGTGCCAGACGTGTCCCCCTGCTTAAGCCAGTACATGTCCAGGCCCGTCTGATGTTTGCTAGAGTGCATTTGGATGATCCAGAAGAGGATTGGGAGAATGTCATATGGTCAGATGAAACCAAAATATACTTTTTGGTAAAAACTCAACTCGTCGTGTTTGGAGGACAAAGAATGCTGAGTTGCATCCAAAGAACACCATACCTACTGTGAAGCATGGGGGTGGAAACATCATGCTTTGGGGCTGTTTTTCTGCAAAGGGACCAGGACGACTGATCCGTGTAAAGGAAAGAATGAATGGGGCCATGTATCGTGAGATTTTGAGTGAAAACCTCCTTCCATCAGCAAGGGCATTGAAGATGAAACGTGGCTGGGTCTTTCAGCATGACAATGATCCCAAACACACCACCCGGGCAACGAAGGAGTGGCTTCGTAAGAAGCATTTCAAGGTCCTGGAGTGGCCTAGCCAGTCTCCAGATCTCAACCCCATAGAAAATCTTTGGAGGGAGTTGAAAGTCCGTGTTGCCCAGCGACAGCCCCAAAACATCACTGCTCTAGAGGAG